CTTGGATGACCCCTGTGGCTGTGCAACAGGAGCCGTGGAAGTAAATTCCGAATTAGACAACGCATCGCACTTGTTCTCTCTCAACTTTCATGGCATTGAACGGATGGACGCCTGGAAGAGATCCTGAAATGCCATCACTAGTCGACTCTCGTGCAGCCCGTCCGAACATTCCACCGCCGCCAGGCGCGACGCACACTGGATTCGGAGGGTAATAGTCTTCTCTGTCGACAGCAGACGACGTCTGACTCAATTTGAAGTGCCGGAAATGACAGTGGCGGAATTCATGACGCATTTCCAGGATTCAGTCAGCGTGCAGCGTGCGTAGCAATACCTATTGGATTTTCGAACATTTCCTTATTACTCTTCCATAGTGGTGCCCCAGGCGCCACACCAGTGTGGCCAGCCGAATGGACTTCCGATGAACTTTCGCCCTTGAACTTTCCTCAGACACCGGGATGGGGACGACAGACACCAGATTGGGGAGCAGCATCGGATTCGTGGCAGGGGCCGCCAGCTGGATCCTGGGGTGGCGGTATGCCTGGTACACCTCATCCTCGACAAGGTCGTGCAGTAACGCCCAACAATGGCTTCTTCAGCACAGCATGGCAACCACCAGAGACGACAACTCCTAACACTTTGTCTGGTCAACCAGCAGGCGATGGATGGTTTGGTGCTGGTAATCGGACTGTGAAGAGCCCTTTTGCTATGCCAATCAGTCCATCCAAATCATTTAGAGAGGGCTGGGGCGTTGTTGATAATGATGCGCCCCCTACATCTGCCACGCTCCCGATGCATCACTCTCCATCAACTGAGGAAGGTTACAGGATGAAGCGATCTTTGACTTGGAGTCCATCTGTGGGGAAGAAAGCTAAAATAAAGTCCAAGAAGTGGTACCCGCACGGAGATATCGATGAGTGGAATCCGGCGCAGCGACCGAGAGATTGGAGGGCAGACTTTGAAATGAGACCATCATTCATCAGGCTCAGCTTGTCCAAGAATCGCTCTGATGTTCAAGGTATGTTACTTGGGTTATGCACCGAAACGAGCTCATCTGCTATGCTCAGAGAGTAACGATCCAGAGCGACGGATCTTACATGGCCTTCTCGCATACGATGCTCACGCCCCTTCAATACATCTTGATCTTCGTACAAATCCGTTCACACAGCCCGCCATGTTCTCTCACCTCGGTCGGGCGTACAATCAGATAGACCTTATGCAGATTGCCACGAATCCACCTGCGCCGTTCATGCGCCTGTACCATACCCGCTATCCGTGGTACGTGGATGTATACGCGTCGAACCCAAATGGCGTAACAATCTACGACATTCTCATGCAGCTGCACGTGCAAATGATGATGCCGATTGAAAGTCGGCATTATTATTGTGAGGACGTGCGGAGTAAAGAGAGGGAGTTGCTCGGCGCGGCATATACCTCCAGATGTCACGGAGATAAAGAGCTCATGTCGAGAGGAGTGGTGAGGGTAGATTTCCTGGGGATGGAAGGTCGGCTATTGCTGCAGGGGCTGGTCAGAGGGAGGAACGGGATGTGGGAGATGAAGATCGCCAAAATCGACTCATAAACGCCGTTGTATGAAATTTCCCTTTCATTGATACTACTAACCATCTGCACTGGAACATGTACGTCCCCATCTCGTCCTGCTTTATTGTTCTTTTATCATCTGTATCACTTATCTATTTTCCCCATCAACTCAGCTCACATGTTGTATTATATGTAGACCACATAATTTGAGGTACCAATTTTGAATTGACTCGGAGACCATCACTGCACACTCTGGCATCCCACCGCCGATTGGTTTGCTTGCGGTGAGTTACTACCGGTATCTTGTCATCTCAGGAAGAGGTACTGGAATAATTGGTTGGCAGGTCTTTCCAGGAACTTCCCAGCTGGAAAATGCGGCGGTGGCGGTATCGGACATTTCACTACGTTTCCTAGTGATCACTATCGCGATCTACAGCCACTTTCGCCACCGCTGGCGCGCGCAAAAAGGGCTCCAATGCTGGTCACTTAGTACCATTCCTCTTCCCGGATCCCCTTCAAGCTACCGATCATCCATTTCCCCGAAATCCTCCATTTCGAGCCGGACGTCACAAGCTAGCAACAAAAATATGTGTAATTGTCTCGGACTAGGATCAAGATGGAAATTTCGAACTGCGGAAACTTCCCTGCAATCAAGTGCAGACGCTGATGAAGTCTTCTTATCAGGCATGAAAAAGTCCCGGGACATTACTTAAAGGCTTTCTTCCCACCAGAACTGAAAGCATAGAACGCAGTCAACTTCCCATGGCCGCGAAGTTCAAGGTTATTGTCTGGTGAGCGTCAACCGTCGTCCTATGGAATGGACCCACGATAACTGACCCGATTCTCGATCAGCGGCGGCGGATTAGGCGGACTAGCTTTCGCTGTAACACTGTCCAAGTATACAAATGTGGACCTCGAGCTATACGAGGCTGCAGGACACTTCTCCGCGGTTGGAGCTGGCATCAGCGTATGGCCGCGAGCTCTAGAAGTCATGGAGATGATGGGTATGGGACCTGATCTGCAGAAGGTGGCGTCAGCCCCGTTCACACAGGACTACGGTCAGTCGAAATACAGATCTCTACTCGTTTCCGAACATTGACATCTCATGTCAGTTACTGCTTGGAGTTTCAGAAAAAGCGACCAGACTGTAGGGAAGGAATTTTGCCGCGTCCACTCTAAAGGGTACTGTCAAACGTTTCACCGAGGAGACCTGCATGACGTCTTTGTGAATCATCTTTCGCCGAGATGTGTAATCCATTATTCAAAGCGACTGCAATCGTATTCCGAACAGCCTGATGGACCAGTAAAGATATTCTTTGAAGATGGGACGACCGCCGAGTGCGACGTGCTGGTCGGCGCTGATGGTATTAAATCTCGAGTACGGGCGGCCTTGCTGAAAGATAAGGCGCAGAGTGCCTTGGCGAACGGGAGACTACACGAGGCCGAAGAAATTCTTTCTGGTGTTCCTCAGATGTTTACTGGATCGGTCGCATATAGATCATTAATTCCCATGGAGAGAATCAAGGAGGATCCTGTTGCACGCAACTTTCAACTTCCCCCGCAACCTACACAGGTAAGTTAAATTTTACCCCTCATATGATCGTATTGACCTTTTAACCTCTTGCACCCCAGTATTGTGGTCATGGCATCGTTAGTGCTTTCCTCGTTTCCACTCAATTTTCTTTTATGAATTTCCTGTAGAACATCGTTGTATATCCGGTGTCGAACGGCACCTTGTTGAACGTCGCCCTCTTTCGGCATCAGAAACACCTACTGGGTACTTCATACGACCCACCGTTCCCGGTTCAGGTAGACAAGACTGAACTAATGGCGCTCGCCGAATTTTCAGAATGGGAACCAGAAATCCAGGCGTGGCTACGGGTGAGTACTCTATCATCCATTTTGATTGATGACTACCCTTGTTAACGTGCCTGGACTCAGTGTATCGACAAGCCAAGCAGATGGCCTATGTACTGTGCCAGGGTGTTGCCATCCTATGCGTCAGATCGCGTTGCAATTATCGGTGACTCGGTAGGTACGCATGGAATAATTTAATCGCTCAATTGACAGAAGAAAAGGCACATGCAATGCTCCCGCATCAGGCCTCCGGCGCAGGTCAAGCAATCGAGGTACTTGCTTCATCGCTGTCTCATAGCCCTGCCCATCTGATAGAGTTCTTTCAGGATGGCTATTTCCTAGCGACTCTTCTCGGCCACTCGCTCACGACACGGAAAAATATACCCAAAACATTGGAAGTATATGATTCCGTTCGCCGTCCGTTTGTTATTGGCGTCTGGAAACGATCCGCCAGCAGCGCTAGGTATTTCACTATGACCCATGAAGATTTTGAGTGGGACAACGATGCACCGGAAGCTGAAGTATGGGAGAAGCTTGAGGGAACAGCGATAGCTATAAACAAAGGCTTCGAGTGGGCATGGGCGACATCATTCAAAGGGATGATGGCAGAGGGTGTACGGAGGCTGGAGGCTGCACAGAGATAGATGTGCCATTTCGCGTACCCTTGTTCATCCAGCTTAGCTCAAAGTTACTCCTGAACACATTCAGGGTCACTTAACCGCAGGACGGCAAGATATATATGATGTATATGCACCTTTTCTCCAAATATCTACTGGATCCAGGCAGTCGATGACGCAGTCGCCAAGTTCTCTACGCGTGTACTGACACCATATGAGCTACCCTGGATAGTGGGCTATGCGGGAAGTGTCCGTTGACTACTGATTGTTCCAGAGCTTACAGCCAGATTTTCTAGGGCTTCAACTAGATGGTGAAGTTTGAACAATATCACGTCCGAAGTCAAGGAGTCATTTTCAGATTTGCGCTTTCTGCATAATAGTCCTGACCACGAGAATCATGTCTTGTGGTCGAAGTCTTTCAATAGCAAAACGTTATTAAGATCAGTACAACGTACGCAGTAGAGAACCTGCACAAAAATTTCCACCCGAACAAACAGATTGATAATACTATAAATACCCGCTCTGTCTCTCGGTAAGGTCGCAAGGTGCCTGACCACTGTTCAAATCCCGCCTTCGTGAATGGGGGCAGAGTGTGCGCCGATCTAGAGCACTGGCAGCAACCATGGGGTCATCTGAAGCATCGATCTTGTTTCGACTTAAAATTAACGCATGAGCTGTCCATACTAAAGGACATATTTGTAACTCCATTCCCGCTGAGTCCCCAGGGATGACCGCCTTATATGATGCCCATTCAAGACAGGAATGCTGTTGCGAAGCCATCACCCTTGGAGCGTTTTCTCCGTTTAACTGTTCCTACTCACATTGAAGTTTTGCGAATGAAACCGTAAGTATCGGTACACCAATGTTTGTTACCATTAGCTTGCCGCAGGCCATTGGAGACGTTTCAGTCAAATAATTTACCTGTCAGACTTTATAAACTAGGGGTTTCGAAATTTGAATAGAATTTCAAGTAGCTCGAAGATAAAAAGGTACTACCAGGGATCGAACCTGGGTTATGGGAAATCATTCAATCAGAATCCCATGTGCTACCACTACACCATAGCACCGTTTCTGCGCAATTGATGAGGTACTAATTTTGGCAAAGGTAAGTCTCAGAGAAATACTATCTATATGCGCTATAGGGGCCTTAGAATATTTGAAATATGCCATCATCATCATGCCCCGAGCAGCATTTTCAGCGATGCTGGCACATTCGAATACTGCTTTGGGGATATCCAGGGAGGAAACAATGTTTAGATTGGGTTCATCAAGGTAGAGACAACGTTTGCTGGGAACCATATGGGTGCGGAGGTGAGCAGGGACTCGGATGAGGGTAGGGTCGACATTCACTATTGCCTCCTTAGACCCTTAGACATACAGTTGAGAGGGACAGACAGGTAAAGGGCTCCCCAGTCGTGTACGGAGCTCGATATGTGGGGCAGTAATGTATGGTAGCGCACAGCTTAATTGCGTTGATAGCATGGTATACGCATTCAGTGCAGAATACATGCCTTATAGCAGGCACGAGGGAGCGACGAAATGGAGGTGAGGAAGAGGGACGTACCACAGTGCAGTGCGACTAGCTGCTTGAGTTCGTCGATGCAAATACTGCAAGACCATGGTGAAAGGTGTAGTAGTATGTCGGTGGAACTGACCTTGTTCCTCCGCTTTCTTACGCTGCGCTATCGGCACCTTCAACATCAAACATCTTTCATCCCAATGGTTTGGCACATATCTACAATAATCAAGCTTTCTCATGTCCTTTGAGCATGTCCCCTTCTGATGGTGCGTTTTGCGTCGGTATCCATGTTTCTCTATAGCTGATAGTCTGTTAATGCACACCGTAGTTGAAAGTGATTCTCGCACTCCTCGTGTTAGACATAACCCCAGAATGAGATTGTTCGACCGTTTACTGCAAATATACCTCGCCTTTCTCTGAGCCGTTGCATCCTGTCTTCGAAATGGTATTCTGCCATACCTCGTACGTGTTGGCTCTGGGGCCCTTTTTCACCAATTGAAGTCTTTCTGACAAACGGTTAGCATCTCAGTGAGTATCTTTACAATCAATGCTATGATTATTGATGACAGAAATTTTTATTGAAGATAGCAAGGCATACGCCCCAGTAGCGCCTACTGGGATCCTGTAGAACAAAGCAAGTGCGTAAAGTGTCTTAGACGATCAGTCCTCACTTTCATCAGGTTGTCGAAATGGCTCGACGAACTGCGTTCAGGATCTATAGATGTGCCAACGAGCACTGAAGAACTAGATCGCATATTCTGGGAGCAGTTTATATACTACTGCTGGTCTGGCACCCTTAGTCGTTCGACCTATGACTTGCGCCATTTCTGTAATCTTGATCCTGACGCAGAATGTACTTTTTGTGATGTGAACAGGCTCTACAGGCGAGAATAATCTGATTTCGCTTGATATCTCGACATTAACAGAGGACGACCAGGATGCCATCAACAATGCCTTGTTTTCCTCTATGTGTCGCCTTCTTCTTCGTTTTGACACTAAATAATTAATCCAATAGCACAAAGAGCGGCAAATACTGGGAGAACATTCCTAACTATGAACACCAAGGAACATGCACCATCTGTAATGCAGAGGACTCCCTGAAACACATACTGCTAGAATGCGACCTACCGGGACAGGAGATAATCTAGGAGCTAGCCAAGAAAGTCTGGGAAAAGAAGCGCCAAACATGGCCTAGTCTGACATACGGTAAAATTCTGGGCTGCAGCACCGCGGATCTCAAAGATGAGAAAGGGAATACACTGCATGGACTATCGAGGTTGTACAGAATCCTAATAACAGAGTCTGCGTACCTTATCTGGTGCCTGCGTTGCGAAAGGAAGGTCGGACGGAACGATGAACTAGAAAAGGATGGCGCACTGAAAAGGAATCACAAAATCACTGGATAAAATAGGTCAGTACTAGGCTGAAACTTGATTGTGCCATAACCAACGCGAAACACTAAGAGTTGACGCGGTGATTACAAATGTGGCAAGGCACCTTACAAAACGAGGACGTTCTCCCGGAATCCAGTTATCCGGGAACCCAGGGTTTTAGTGGGTATAGGATCGCACAACCGTCTATATAGACATGGTAATGACAGCTAACATTGCCAGATTCGAATCCCACACTACTAGAGAGTCCCTGCAACCTCAGCTGGCTATCGGGGCTAACGTGGTTAGTTGCCAATCGCCGAAAAGCTTCACCGAAAATAATAATAATAAAAAAGAGGGTTGGTTCCATGGGGATATTGCAGAGAAAAATATCCTTTACTCAACTGACACCGATGGCCGGAAGAAGTCTTTGCGACCCATCCCTAGCAGAGCGGTAGTAGTGTGATGTTGATAGACGAGAGCAACGATCCGGTTTGGAAAGCCGATGTTATATCCGTTAAAAGGGGTCCTAGTGACTTCGTATATTCAATGATCCAGCGGATGATAGAGAACAAGGTCAATTACTTGGATCTCATTGCCTGACAGTGTTCAAGGGGATTGCATGAACGTTTCTTGAAGGCCAAACAGATAAACCGCAAATTTCGACCATTATTTACTGTCTCGCACTTATTATACCTTCCTCGGTTCCAACTTTCTTCATCTTTCAATTTCTTTTGCAGTCGGGTATAGGCTTATAGCACACATTCTCTTCTATCCTGTAGAATTGTGAAAATGTTGGTGATTACACGCATGCTTAACGGTTCAGGTTCAGCAACCATGACAGCTATAGGAAGAGAAGGAAAGCATCACTGGGTTCCAAACCGACGATCCAAGACTGTGATCGAGCCATCACTCCCCTCGAGGTTGAATAAAAACACGAATTCTTAAGCATATGCATCTCTGTTGTACATACCCGACCATAGCCCATTTCAGCACCAAGGCAACTATGAACTCGACCTGTCCCAGTCCCACTCTGGCGCACTCCATTCAGGCATTTCCGTCTCAAACCCACCCAAACTCGTCGTGTACCTCAGCGCATGAAGAAATATATACAGTTTCTCCGGCTTCGGATCTGGATGAAGTGGTAAGTAGCATTCGGGGCAGTAGTGCTGGTCAGCTTCGACCAACGGAGTCTGCACTACAGGTGCCAATCCCTGCGCGCGTTCTAGTGCCTCGTCAACGGACAGTTGAGGCGCATCCGTGACTGGAGTGGTGTCATCAGGAGTTCGTGGTGTAATCGGTGTCGCAGGGCTCGCTCCTGACCTGAAGACGTTCAAAGTCTCATCGACGAACTCAGTCTTGCCCTTTCTCTTCTTGTTACGTGGAGGCGGAGGTTTTAACGCCCAATGCTGTGGTCGCAGTGGTTCCTTCGCCCGGAAAACGACATCTCGCCACCTGCTCCAGTCTTCTGATTCATCCTGTATGTTGTGAGCTTATGATTCAGTAATATTAGACTGATACTCACCTTCATATTTCTCAGACGTGTAATGACTCCAACAGCTTCACTGGAAAGCGGTACAGGTGATCCCATACCGATATCTTTCCCTGTCTCTCGAGGTAGAAGTTTCAGCTCGGACGTCAAGGCAGACGAGTCTCCATCCTTGGCCAATGATTCAGGACTACCACAGAGCTCGGTGCTGTCTTTGAGATGTGGAGGCGGAGCGGGAGCAGACCGTTCATCACTGGGAGTGAGATCAATGCCACCTCTTCCTAGGCTGGCACCCTAAACAAATGCAAGATGACTTGAGAAGGTGAATAGCAAAGAGGAAAGTATACAAACCCAGATTTTGGTCTCGGAATAGACAGGATCATTAGCGATGGGGTGTCCCAAGTATTGCAGGTGTACGCGAATTTGGTGTGCTATATACCATATGAGACCCTGTATATTTCCTAGGATGATCGAACATACATCGACCCGTCATAGGCTTGCCTGAAGAAAGTGGGTAAGAACAGTATCATATTAAAAGTAGCCGACTCACAAAGGACGACACTACTATCCGTTTTTGAGTCATATCGAATCCGAATGAACACAGTTTTGGCTGCCTAAACGAAATATTAGTTTGGAATGACAGTCACAAGACTGTACTCACTTTGCCCTCTGGATGTACAACGTTCAAACCCATTTGTCTATCAATTGTAAGCAGCGGTTCTTCGCAGACGATTTCTTCCCTACGCGACGTCAATTACAGGGATGGTTTGATCATAAGAAAGGGAACGCACTCGGGGAATTCTCCTTTGCACCTCGCCACATATTCTTTCTTGATGGAACCATCCATAAATTCTTTGGTCAGTGATCGAGCACGTTCCGTGGAGGTTGGAAGGATCATAAGCCCTGAGGTCAACCTATCCAGCCTATTTACGGCTTCAAACTGTTGGCATTGGTCGTAATAAGACGAGATGTAATACGTACTGTATACCTTCTCAAAACCAAACTCGGTCATGAGAATCTCAACCAGAGTATTCCGATAGTATCTCCCTGATGCATGCACAGGCTAGAAAGGAGTCAGGTGGAGGATAGAATGGAATGAACAGTATAGACGAACGAACGATGCTGCCCGGTTTGTTCACGACGATGAACTCCCGATCCTTGTCCTCGAAGAGAACCTTGACTGGCGTTGATGTCACCGGTGGCTCATGACGGTGAACGACATTCCTGGTTATACGTTAGCTAAGAACGAAGGGGGAACCGAGGACGATGTACTCCATGAGGTCTCCATCTTGTATTATTGTGTCAGGCTTGGCCGGCTGGCGATTTAATGTAGTAACTCCAGATTCTAATGCATATCTCTGCAGCGAATACATGATACATGAGCACGAAGAAGAAACTATCAAGCTCAAACGACGTACATAGTATTCCATCGACCGATCTCTAAATTCTGTAGAAACAACCTCGAGTATCTCGCGACCTATCCATCTCTCCTTGGCATATGTGCTGTATGGGTACCAGTACGGTGGTATCTTCCGAAGGCCATGCGCAACAGGCGGTACTTGAGGTTCAACATCGGCCAGCGTAGTAAGTACGAGGCTTGTCATGACTCGACTGAAAAAACTCGAAGGCGAAAGTGGTAATTGTGGTAGCACGAATCTTGCGCGAGACGCGAGACGGTCAATTCTAGGA